TTTGTAGAGTATTCCCAGGAAGCGCTAATCCACCAGGTCAAGGACTATGCTTGTTTTGATTACTTTTCCTTCTGGAGCACCAAGCACAACACTTGGCCTAACACAAGAGCATTAACATTATCTGTAGAAACAATGACCTCCTCAGAGCTCCTAATGTAACATTTAGTTCACAGTAAGCACCGAGCTCAGATTTCTTAATTGAATCTGCTGACTGTTTCAATGCAAATTCTGATCTCAATCCCCTTCCACTTCTAGGTTACATTCCTTTTAGAACAGCTGTAAACTACTGTACCCACCTCCCCAGTATAGGACACAGGCCTGAGGGAAAAAAATACACTAAGAGACAGAACTAAGAGAGAGAAGTGGGGGCCAGGACGACCAATGCTGGTGCAATGGACAAAGGCCCTGGCCCATCCCGGGCACCTTTATTGGCAATCAATTGGGGTAAAGGTGAGCTACGAGTGATTTCTACAGAAATTAATGTAAACAAGGCTCATAAAGGACAACTCAAAGCATTCTCAAATTAGGAACAGAATGAATAAGATATATGGTTTTAATTAAAACATTTTCCTTCTAGTCTGGAGGTTTTAGTTGTGGGATCGGAATCTGGGTGCGAGTTACTCTGACCTCGGCACACAGGCTTCAGCCAGACTCCTGTCTATGAACAAGCCGATTAAAAAAAGAAATTAAAAAAAATAAACAAGCTGATTGTGGGGCTAACTCTTCACAGCCTGCTTTGGGCATGGCTGGTGTTTCGGTCCTCTGCAGTAAACAGGTCAGAAAGTGGCTGCCAAGAGGGCCATGAAGTGGGTGGGTCTCAAGAGGCAGTTAGTTCAGTTACTGAAGGAGAGCAAATTATTCCTCGAATTTTTCAAGCTCTGGTTTTACCACTTCCATTGGATAAATTCCCTTCTTAATACACATTCTTTGTCTGTGCTCATGTGAGATGTAGAATAATGCTTCCTCTGCTAGATCCTGCATTTAGGTGTTAGTCACGTAGACCAGAGGCTGGCCTGAATAGGAAGGTGCTCACTGTAAGTGTATTGGGTGGAATTAAACTAAAATTCACTGTAAGGCTAGGGATTTAGCTCCGTGGCACCGTGCCTGCCTTGTAAGCACAAGGTCCTGAGTTTGATCCCTGGTACCAAATAAATACATAAATAAAAAAAACACATGCAGCTTCAAAAGTGAGCCTTCTGTTTTCTTCCCCAAGACAGCTGGCGCAAGAGTAACGCACAGGCCCGGCCTGCAGACATCAAGTGCGTAACTAGAGGCGGGATGAAACCGCAGCCCTGAGGACCTCCCTGCCTTCTGTAGTTTATCTCCTTATCACCTTATGACTTTGGGACAGATCACTCTGAGCTCTGTACATAGGCATGCCAGTCCCTCGGAGAGGTGCCATTATCACGGCTGTTAGGCTACATATGCCTAGCAGTGGTGGCAGACCTATACACACGTTATGTTTTTCAAGACAAAAGATGTTAATGTATGAGTTGTTTTTTGTAAACTAAAACCTGTGTTCCGGTTTAATTGCAGTGGTGGCGCTTTACAATAAATAAGTGGGTTTTGGGTGGCAGTTGGACACCTGTTTCTGAAGGGTTTGCCATCGCTGGCCCAGCCTCTCTCCTCCCCCTTCAAGACCGAGCATACCACGTCGAGTGACAGGTTTTCAGGGCTTGCAGGGACATCCAATTGCCAGCTTTTACACTGTCCATTTTCAGACTCTCTGGAGAGGCCTACAAGTCTCCAGCCATTGTCCTAAAGCTGCAGCCACCTCGGATTCCAGGAAAAGCAGCTGGGACCACCCATGGTGAGGTCACCCCTGCATGCTCCATGACAGGCGCCTAGGAATGGACCACTGTCCTGCAGAAGCCAGGACTGAGACCGTGACCAGCTGACTGAAGGGCCGCGATGCTAGTCCGCTCCATCACGGGTCACTGACCACCATGTCTGCTCTTTCCTCTTCCTCCTGTTTCCCTTTGTCAGAGCTGCACCCCTCAGCTCTCAGCTCCTCACACTAAAGTCCCTTCCCAGTTTCTCTGGTTCCCTTGCAGAGTATCAGCTTTTAAAAACTCCCACTCCTTGGGAGGCCTTTCCTCTGTCTCCCTCCAAGTGGATGAACGACCAAGTTGTTTCAAGAGGATGTGACAGATCTTGGGAGGGCAGGGAGTGATGTTTTCCTCTGACAACCCAGGGACAGCTATCCACTACATCACACGGGATCGAATTCCATGTGTAGCGTACGTTTTTACCAAGTAGCACAGCCAGCTGAATATTGGGACTGTCTCCTTTCTTTTCTTTGTTTTATTTTTGTTTTGTTTTGTTTGAGACAGGGTCTTGCTACGCAGTTCAGCCTGGCCTGGAACACATTATTTAGCCCAGGCTGGGCTCAAACTCATGGCGATCCTCCTGTCTCAGCCTCCCTAGCTGGGATTACATACAGGTGGGTCCCACCATGCCGCCTTCCATAGGTCAGATATCTGCAACACGGAAAGTCACCTCTGCGCGGCCACGAGACCCACTGAGCTCTACCTAGGTGGGTCAGAGTCTGAGGACGCCTGTGGCTCCTCACGGTGTAGCGACCTTTTGCTTCTCCCGCCCCCGTGGGACACCAGGCTCTCCGCCAGGGAACGGAGCCCCGCGCCTGGGAACCGCGTCCCGGCCCAGGCAGAACCCCGAGGATCCCGAGGCGCGGGAGCGCGCTCGAGCCTTCCTTCCTCCGTGGGCGAGCGCGGATGGCCGGGGTCTGCTTTCCTCCGTGGGCGCGGCCGGGGGTCTCGTCCTGGCCCGCCTGGCCCCTGCTCCCGTCCCCGCCCCGCCTGTCCTTTCCGGCGGGCGCTTCCCCCTCTCCTTCTTGGCCGGGGAAGCTCCAGAACCCCCGCTCGCCGGTCCCGTCCCGCCGCTGTCCCCACTCGGGGGGGGGGGGCGACCGCGTCGCTCCGCCGGGGACTCGGCGCAGCGGCTGGGAGGGCGCGCGGACCAAGATGAGAGCAGCGCCCCTACTCGCCCAGCAGCAGAGTGGCGCAGCGGAAGCGTGCTGGGCCCATAACCCAGAGGTCGATGGATCGAAACCATCCTCTGCTAAATATGTTTTGCCGCCTCCCCCGGCCAGGCGCCCGAGGACGTCCCTCGAGCAGCTGATCCGCCATCCCGGCCGGACCACGCGGGGAGTCCGGGAGCGAACCTTAGGTGACCTATGTATATGTCAAGGCCCACGTTTTCTCCCACAGGATTGATGGCTTCAGGCCCAGCGGATCTTCCTGACTGAGCTTCAGAACTCTGCTCTTCTGCGTCTCTCTAGTTTTATCCCGTACCTGGCAATTACTTTTTTTTTCTTCTCGATGCCGGGATTGAGCCCTGGGCCTTGGCACTGAGCTACATCCCCAGCCCTTTTGGTTTTTATTTGAGACAGGGCTTCGCTAAGTCACTACGTTCCCCCGGCATCCTCCTGCCTCAGCCTCCCAGACTGCGGGTATTACGGGCTCACACCGCGGCACCGCTTTGCAGGAGACACGGAGCCAAACGGAAATTTCTATAATTAGATAAGAAGCTGAGCTGGATCTGGCGGGATGCCTCCTTGCAAAGAACGACTGTCTCAAAGTCTGGCTCCTTCTCCACGGATGAACCCACACATTAGAAAGTATATTTAAAGAAAAACTCTAAATAAATAAATAATAAAAAAGAAAAATTCTGACTTTATGACGTCACTCAAAAGACCTTTGTGCTGTTATTCAAGCTCTTGTCCTTCGTCCTCAGAATGGGGAGGACTCGGAGGGCCTAGGGAACAGGAATCGTCCTTCGTCCTCAGGATAAGTGGGAGGACCCGAGGGAGATCTTCTGCCGCGGGGTCACACCTGAAACCCCAGGGTTACCGGACAGTTTAACAACTCTTTAACCTGGAAGAGGACTGCTCCGCACCAGTCCGCTAAAGATGTCCCGCAATCCAGCAGCGTATTTGAGAAGGTGTGGGTGGGTCACGCTTCTTCGCGTGATTTTCATCTCCAAAACAGCAAAGCCGCAACCGCCGTAGTCGGCAGGATTCGAACCTGCGCGGGGAGACCCCAATGGATTTCTAGTCCATCGCCTTAACCACTCGGCCACGACTACACGGATGCCAACCTCCCCAAAGAGGACAGTTTTGTGACGGCTAGCTCTTCCTAAAAGCACAAACCACGCGCCGGGAGGCCTTGCGTTTGTAACCCGTTTTTCCTACGGGTTTCGGGCGCTCAGATGTCGATCTCAGTCGCACCGAATTGGCGAGCAGCGGCTCACTCTCCGAACCGGAAAGGCTGGAGTTGGGCGAGACCAGCTTTCTGCGCTCCCCGTTTCTGCGGGGGACCGGAGCTGCAGCCCCCAAAGGGGCGCTCACTGCGGCCGCGCGAGGAGGTTGGGAACGCAGAGCCCCCGAGTTTTGAACTAAATACAGGAAGAGCCGCAGAGTGGGAAGTTCTACAAGTAAGAAGCTGAGTGAGACGCGCTCCTCTGCGAGGGCGAGCTCCAAGACGCCTCTCACAGGAAACGGCCGAGAGCAGTGCATAGAGTTTGCTATTAATGGCATAAAATAGAGCGAGAAATTATGTATGTGCATGTTGATTAACTTAAAAAGTCACACCAAACCTGTGGGTAGAAAGTGAATAGATGGGGCTGGGGATGGAGCTCAGTGGTTCCGGTGCCTCCTTGCAAGCACCAGGTCCCGAGTTCAGTCCCTGGTACCCCTCCCCCCAACAGAATTTTAAAAGAAAGAAAGTGAACAGGTGGAACACACGAGATTTAAGTGTCCACAAGATGGCCTTCACTACAACTCGAACTGTATTATACTTGTTATTTACTTGTAGATTTTCCTTTCTTCTTGATGCGTGCCCCGAAGTGGAATTGCTGGGTCCTCTGGTCACCCTGGGTTTAATAGTTTCAGAAACTGCTAATCTTCTCAGAGTCAGAGTTTACATCTCGCCTCTGTTTTGGGTAGTGAGGATTGATGCTCTGTATCGCTGCTCTGCAAACGTGGAGAAAACACAAAGTTTGAAGACGCTTCTTGTGACTGGGCACAACAGCACGAACAAGCGAGATCTGTAATTTCGAGGTGGATGGAACTCGAGATGTTGATGGGAAAAAGCGGTCTTTCCATGTACAAGAGGAACTAGATTTTAGGTGTTTCCTATTTATTCTCAGAAGGTAGTGAAATATGAAAGAAAGAGAGAAACATAGGTGTGGCATTTCTCCGAGGAGAAGACCAGGCAAAGCCTCAAAAGCACCTTGCTAGGACAGACACATTCCTGATTCAGCCTGAACAACAAGAGATTTAGGACGCAGACGCGAGCCGGGTGAGCTCTAGTAAGGCCTCCTTTGCTGGTGCCGAGCCTGGCTTTCCCTGGGAGACAGCTTGGGCTCCCGGGTGTCAAACCTGCATAGAGGGAAGAGTTTGTTTCATGCCCAAGTATATTTTTCATAGTCTCTATGTATTTCCCAAGACAGCAAAATGGAGCTAGCAAGTATTCTTCCTATTCCACGGTTGATACGCTAGTAAGAAAGAGGTAAGGGAAAGGAAGAAAGCAAAGAAGGAGAAAGAAAGTGAGGTTCTTAACCTGTCCATGGCGTGTAAAGTAAAGCTTGTTCACACACGCCTGGCGAGATGCCCCGACACAAATCTAGCGCTTGTGGAAGGTGTGTCTGGGAGCTCGCAAGCTTGGGTGCTGGGCAGGCCGGGCGGAGGCCTCCCTCGCCGTGGCCTGCGTGTCACATCGCCCGGCTGTCCTGTTTCTCCGTGCCGGAGCTGTAACTGCACACAGTTGCTGAGCAAATGCAAACCCTGAAATGCAACAGGCTGGGTAATTAGCGTCAGCCTCAGAAATCAGGAAGCCTGGGTGCCCACGGGAGCTCTGTGAGCAGCTGCTTTCTCCACTCGAGTTAGGGACCTGAGAGCGAGGTGCGGTGTGGACCCACAGAGGGAAGCTGCTGTTTAACACCGGAATGCGCTGCGATCCGGACTCCTGCGCTCGCCGGAACTCTGGGATCTCCCCAAGCAGCCCCAGGCTGTGCAATGCACCTTTCTGGTCCAGCCGGTGACCTTGGATCCCAGTGCCGATGAGGACCCTGGAACCTGTGGGCTCACTGGGTGTCACTCCAATGCTGGGGATGGGTGCGGCTCCCACTTCCGATCTCTCATGAATGGGGTACTGCAGAGCAGGACATTCTGTGTTTCTGTAAGACTAACAGCGGCAGCAACAGTGACATCAAAGATTCTTAAGATACAGAAGCAGAGAGTGATGTTTGAACTGGGCACCTCCCCTGAGACTGGCTGGTGCCGGCATGCAGGCATTGACAGAAATGCTGGTGGAAGTCGAGGTGTGTGGTGGGCCGGTCAGTCAGCGCCCTGGTTTTCATTATGCCCCGTGGCTCAAGCAGACACACGGAAGAAGCGGACTGGGGACAGCAAACCTGCAGGGCCTGAGCGATGCCCAGGAAGCCGAGTGGCAGCTTCTGGGGTGAAGGGTGACCCAGTTCTGACCACCCAGGGAGGAGGACAGGTTCCGCGGCCCCAAGGGGTGGACCAGGCACTGCCCTGGGGTCAGCAGCTACACAAGGCCGCCGATATCGGTGCCTGGACTCCACAACAAGCCAGCTCGGTGTGATGAAGTCAGCTCCTTACAGGATAACAGGCAAGATTTGCTTTACTGAATTTTGTTAATTGTGTAGTGATTTGCTTTTAGATTCACACGGTCTCAGCTGTCACTTGCTGAGGACGACACGACAGAGGTGAACCACACAGGGCCACCTGCCTTCTCTACAGAGCTCTCCAAACAGGGCCTGCTAGAGGCTGAGTCTCATCTGGGGGAAAAGAAAACCTCAGTCAGGCCCTCAGGGTCCTCAGGAAAGGCGCCTGTACTCTTTCCAGAGGAGAGGGGAGGGGAGGCACCATAGTAGTCAGCAGGATTCACACCTGCGCGGGGACACCCTGTGGGTTTCTAGTTCATTACCTTAGCCACTCGGCTGCAACCACATGAAGAACAGCTAGCTTCTTGGGATAAGTAGTTTCGTGAACGTCAGCCTTTCCCAGGGCCACGTTTTCTACGGTGAGGTCAACATCAACGTCTCCTACCGCCTGGCCATGGCTGTGCCATGACTTGCAGGAGGCAAGGGCCTTCCAGGCCCCAGGCCGCACCATGTCGGAGGGTCTAGATGTACCCGGGAAGGGATGGGCCACTTCTGTCTGCGATACCCAGGGAACTAGGGGGAGGGAGGAGAAACCCTTTATTACCACATGGAAAGCCTGGGATCGCCTCTAAGTGAGACACGAAAACAACAAGAAAAAAAGCAGCAGCAGCTTCATTTTACTGGAGGTGGCAGGGATGTGTCTTCGAATTAGACAAAGGACACTTCCTGTCTGTGACCCCCATTTACAGGTTTGGCATTGCTGCCCCCTCCCTCTCCCCTGGGTAAAACTGTTCCCAGGCTTGCATCCTGCAGCCTCCTCTTCCACCGGTCCTTCCAGCCCTCCCAGCATTACCCCGACACACACTGGCACACATGGCTCACCCTGCCCGAGTTCACGATGATTTTCAGCCTCACACTCCGCCTTGCAGACACTCAAGGAGGAAGCTCAATTTTTGTCTTAGTGGAAATGAACTTGTACAAGGTCCAGGCTCTGATCCCAGCTTCCTCTGGCTGGAAGATAGGACTGAGCGCCAGCTCTGTCACTCTCAGCATGATTTTGAGTTAGTCACCATCTCGATTGTTTTCTCGTCCCTCGAAGTAAAGATATAATGGTTTAGTATGTTTCAAGAAGCATTTAGGATTTAAAAATCCTTGGCATAGAGCAGCATCCATATGAAGTGCTGGATTTTAAAAATTCATCTTGCTAGAAAGGGAAATAGTGATTTCATTTTTCCTGAAGTAAAAGAAACACAGCAACATCCGCAGCTCCACTGTGTTCGGCTCTATGATGTCACAGTGCCCAGAGTGACACGGGGACACAGAATCCCAGCACTCCCCGCCAAGGTCACCACTATCTTCAAATGTAAGGATTAATTTGCCTTTTCCAATGCTATATAATATTTTCATACTCAAACATTTTTAAAAGTTCTTATGGCCTAAGAGCTGACAGAATTCAAAATCAAATTCATGTTACGTACAACTCTGGGTTTCTCATGAAAGTAAATGAATGAACTGCTACAGTCACACAGGAGAGTATCATACAGCAGGTAACACATGAATGAATCAAGGGTGGCTGCGTGCAACAAAAGTGACAATTAGCTTTAGCAACGTAATATCAAAGGAAGAAAGCAGGCTCTATGATTATGTGCAGCCTGATACCTTGCCTGTGAAATAAAAGTGCACAATTTTTAATAGCTGACCTCAAGGGAAGGACAGCACTTTGAGCTTCTCGTGACACCCCTGCTTCTCTGTCATTCCTTACGTTGTGACAAATCCATACACTCACCTGGACTTGCCAGAGGAGACACTTAGTATCACAAAGAGATGATCACAGAGACGTTCTTACAGTGCAAGCTTAAGGGCCAATGACTGCTATGGAAATTTGCAGCATTGACAGCAATTCTGTGTGGTGAGTCAATGTCCTAGAAGTGACTAAGGAACACCATGGAAGTTTACTTATTGTGCTGATGGGACCTTTTTCTGTGGGGACCCAGAAGTATTTAAATACCCGAGAGAGCTCAAGCAATGCTTGATTTATGGACACATGTTCATATCTTCATTTCTCGGTGGAAGATGAACACTTATGAATTCTGGCGATTGTACCTAACAGGCATCATAAAAGAGCTCATTCTCTCAGTGAAATTTCTCCCTTGTCTTATCTTTTGCCAAGGGCAGTGTTCAGCTCAACTCATTTTTGAGTGCGGGAATCTCTGGGGTGGGTCTCCAGCACCAGGATTCCTGGACAATCATCCTGAAGACTTCATTTTTAAGGAGGGGGGGAAAAAAAAAACCCTTAGGTTCCACCGAGATTTGAACTCGGATCGCTGGATTCAGAGTCCAGAGTGCTAACCATTACACCATGGAACCCCACACACACAAGCGGCTCGCGCTCCAGCCTGATGGGACATCTGTCTTCGATCGCGTCTGCGCCGCCTTCCCGGTGAAAACCCAAGCGCACGTCCGGCCCGCGCAGGTGCTGCCCGGGCCCGGCCTGCAGTGCGGACGCGGGACGCGGACCTGGGGTCGTGGGCGGTCTGCGTCCCCGCCCCCACGCCGGCCAGAGCTGGGATCCAGATCGTCCGAGCGGCGGGCCGTGGGGGTCAGTGCGTCGACCGACCGAGGCCCCTGCATGGAGGCGGCGGGTTCCGCGGCGAGCACCCTGCGGTCCGAGGCGACAGCGCCCTGTCTGCCGCCCCAGGACGGCCTCGGACGAGGAGTCACCTGTGCGCGCTTGCCTGACCCCTGCCCGGGCCGTGGCCCCGACGGCCGCCCACCGAGGGCTGCACCCCCAGGACGCCGCCACGGGCGACAGTAGACCCGCGGGACTGCGCCACGCGTGGGACACGAGCGTCCCCAAGGGTCGGGGCTTGTGCCAGATCGGGGTCTCCGAAAAAAAATAGTAATCATATGCATCTGCGATGGCCAAAGCAAAAAATGTCAGCAACAATAGATTAAATAGTGTTGGATTAGAACCCAAATCAGAAAATAAATACCCATGGTTCCCTATGGCACGGAATAGGTAAGAAATGGGGGAAGGGACCCTGGGGGACTGAGTAAAATGCCGAGTGGACCCAAGGCTTCAAGACCATTCCGCAGCCTGGGCCCTGCAGCTCCCGGGGTGGCACCCGGCCCCGCCTCAGGAACCCGGCGGCCTCTGGGGTCAGTTCCGCTCCTCCACCGGGGCCGCCGAGGACCGCATCACGGCGGTAAAAGTGACACAAAAGAAATCCCTCAACAGCCAGAACCAGCGCCCCAGGTCAACATGGCGGTGAGAAGCCAGGGCAGGGCCTTGGTGTACGGGGGTGGAAATACAGCCGACTCGGCTTTCCACCCCCAACCACCCCAGCCGACCGAGGAAGACCCCTGCCAGGTCCAGTCCGGGGACACAAAACACCGCTCTTCAAAACTGCCAGGGTCGCTGAAGCCAGGGAAAGCAGCAAGGGCTGGCGCGCAGAGCACACGGTGCCTAAACATACTCTGAACAGGGCTGGAGCAGGAAAAGGAAGCCAGGAGCAGACCGGAGATCGGGGCAGGGGCATCTGCCAGCAGCGGTGACACAGACCTGCCTGGTTCTTGTAACGAGGACCCCGAGCTGACGCGCAGCGTGGTAACCGGAGGATGTGTGGGAATGGCCAGCCAGCTTTCTGGGAATGAGAGCGAAGATGTGGCCAGATGAGGCCCCTCCAGAGTGGGCGCCGGGGCGACGGCCGTGCCAGGGGCACACCTGGGGCGGCCGACAGCTGTGTGGAGGGTCCCTGGAGTGCGGGAGGCGCTCCTGGGCCGTGGGGGCCGCTGTGCTCAGTTCTGCCCTTGCCCTGGAGACAGCGGCCTACAGCCAGGGACGCTGAGTGACAGCGTGAACTAAACCCCGACCCAGGGAGGCTGGGCCGTGGCTGGGAGTGGAAGCCCAATGCGAGTGACAGTGGCACAGGTGCTCTTTAGGGAGCTGTGGCCTGAACTTCTCGCCTGGGATGGAGGCGAAGCAGAGCGTGGACTGGATGTCTGGACGGTGATGCCATAGGCAGGACAGTGCTGGGGCAGTGTGACTCGGGGCTCAGGGGTCACAGGCCATGGGTCAGGGGTCACAGGTCACAGGCAGTGCCAGAGCTCTGGCCAGAGTGGCAAGGTTGTCTGCTTTGGGGCCAAGGTGTCTGCTTCCAGCTGTGAGTGTCACTGAACAATGCAGGTGACATCAGGACATCAGGATCACGTGGGCCAAGACCCAGGCTGGGTCCACATTAGGAAGATGCTGGCTTTGGTCTCCGGAGCTGCTCCGTGTCTTCTTGTTCACTCACCTTGTTATTCATTTCCCCCAATGAAATGCTGATGGGAAGTTCCTCTCTCATTCCCAAGATCATGAAGTCATTCAAGTAGTAGTTCACTCCTGGAGACCCCTGCAGCCAGGTTCCAGTCCCCACCTGCCCAGTACACGACACAGGCCTGAGAAAAAGAATACACTAAGAGAGAGAAAGCGGGGCCCAGGATGACCAGTGCCGGTGCAACCAACAAAGGCCCTGGCCAGTCCCAGGCACTGACTTTCATTGGGAATCAATCGGGGTAAAGGCAGGTGTGGTTTCTATGGAAACTGATGTAAACAAGGTTCATAAAGGACAAGACAAAGCATTCCTGAATTAGGAACAGAATGGACCAAATATATGGCTGTAATTGGAACGTTGTCCTTCTAGTCTGGAGGTTTTAGTTATGGGATTGGAGTCTGGGTGCGAGTTACCCTGACCTCGGCACATAGGCTTCAGCCAGACTCACGTCTATAAACAAGCCGACTGCAGGGCTAACTTCACAGCCTGCCTCGGGCACAACCAGCATCATGGTCCTCTGTGGGTCACACCGTGTTTTCTTACTCAGGATCTGAGGTGGCTGCAGCCCCGTCCCCTGAAGATGCTCTTCACCCCACGAGGGCTGTGCACACTCTCGGCATCACACTGCAGGGTACAGTGGTCCTGACTTGTGCTTTGAGGTGTGAATTCTGCTCCCCTCAGCAGGTCAGTGCACCTGTTCTCAGCTCCCAGCGCCGCGGCCTGCCTGAGCCTGTCTGTGGGTGGATTCCCACTGGGCCCAGGCCAGGCCAGGGTTGGAGCGGGTGTGACCGCATGCCAGCAGCTGCCCTTGCGCTAGAGTAACTCAGCATGGGGACCTTAATGTGTTCTGTTTAATGCAGCTCCGTGCTGTTCAAAAGGGAAGCACAGCCCTAACCCCGCCACATGTGTGCATTGCTTCACGGCTTCTGCTCGGACTTTGGCGAAAGGGATGTCGGGCTTTGGGCCTCACCTCCTAACTGCTCATTTCTTTATCAGCGCCGTCATCAGTCTGCACGACTCCCAACTGAGACCAAACCAACCAAGCTGGTTCCCTGGTGTTTCCTGTTTGGTTTCCTGTTTCATCTCTACCCAGTGACGGTCCTGTTGGCAAAGCTGCACCTGCCTGGCACTCAGTTGCCCTTCGTCAGAAGGGACAGCAGTGCCCGGAGCTGGGAGGCTGGAAGTCTGTTACCTAAGTTACCTAAGCCCGATTATGTCCTGGGGAGGGAGGGGGCAGACTTCACTTGATGGCTGGCGGAAATCCACCTGACATCCCGACCCCGGGAAGTCATGCAGAGTCGGAAACTGTAGGTCAGCTCAGTCGGTGGGGACTGTCACTCCAGGCCCTGTCTTCTGAGCCCCGAACCCTGCTGCCCAGCCTGGGTGCGGCTGCTGGGCTTTGCTCCATGGTTGGCACAGAGATTGCTGAAACAGACAGACCTGTGATTTCCTCTCTAGCAACATCCATGCCAGGCTTTAGCTAGAAGATCGTGCTGGGCTCCAGAGATGACTGGGGGTGCAATGTAGGGAGCAGGGAAGGGGCGTTACCAGAACCTCTGCAGCAAGTCCTGCTCTCCTGTGAGCCCCGGCAGCACATGGGGAATTACAGGAAAGGTAGGAAAATGAGACGGAGAAGAAGCTGAGCTTTGGGTCTGATCAGTGCTGCTCTGGGCGGCAAAGAAAAATGTCCCCAGCTTATCACACCTTTTATTCAGTACTCAGTACATCGGGAGAAACAGATGTAAGAGATGACTTGCAGAGAGTTCAGTATATCCTGTGTAAACAAGATGTATCAATCCAAGAACAAGGAGGAACTGAGTAGGTGTTTGTTCCTCCCAGGACGTTTTCAGCTCCCAGGATGTTTCTTGTCCTGGAGAATCACAGACAGCATCACCGGATCATTGAGGTCTCAGTTGTGACCGGAGGCCAAAATGGAATTATGTCTCGGAATGCCATAGCTGGGCTGTAGGCAGGAGAACCGGGCTAACCAAATGATTTTACCCTGAAATTATGGAGCATTGCTCCCAACAGTGCGATTTACTCTTTCTCCTCTGTGGAAATGTGTGCAGATGTTAGCTCTTCCTTGATGTCCTCAGACCTCGCAGTGAAGACACAATGCTGCTGTGTCAGGAGGCACAGGCTGAGCCTCACACTCGCAGAGGGTGGTGCAGTGACTAAGGGTGGCCTGGTCCCCTCTGCCTGGATCCTTGGGGAAGAAGGAAGTTGAGCACAGAGGCCCGGGAGACCGGGGAGGGAGAAACCAGACCTCGGGCCTGAGCTTGGGTTCAGCCTCACAGCTGTGCCAAGACAAATTGCTGTCCTCCGAGCCGCCCAGGCTGCGGTGTTGTTCGTATGCATTATCCTCGGATCCTGATCTCGTCCCCTTTCCTTCTTGATGTTTTTCTCCTCTGTTATGAAAGAGCCTTGATTTGAAGTAACAATTTTAGTATCTAAAAAGCAAAAATTTGCTTTATTTTCTCTACTTTTCTTTTTTCTTTTTTGGCATTTAAAGTTCTCATTCTTGTTTCTTCTGAGCTACATCCTTCCTTTTTTTTTTTTGAGACTGGGTCTTTCTAGGTCACTAAATTGCCCTGGCTGGGCTGGAACTTGGGATCCTCCTGCCTCAGCCTCTCAGAGTGCTGGGATTACAGATGTGCACCACTATGCCTGACTTTTCCTTCAAACTCTTTAAAGTTTAATTTACTAGATTTTTTAAATAGTTTATTGAAATGAAAGCTTAGATCAATACATTTGAATTTTTGTTATTTTAATGTATGCATTTGGAATTTAAAATTAAGTATTAAGCATTATTTTAGTTTCATACGACAAGGTGAGATGTATCTTATTTTCATTATCATTTAAGTTAAAAACAGTTTATAGTTTCAAAATTTGGGGGGCCATGAAATTGTTTCACATTGTATTATTGAATTTTGTAATAGTCAGGAATTTTTCATTTATCTTGTTGATATTTATTATTTTGTGCTCAGAGACCACAAACTCTGTGGTATCAGTCTTTTGAAACTGGCTTCCCCAGTGGCACTGCACCTGCCTCGCAAGCGCAAGGTCCTGAGTTTGATCCCTGGTACTGCAAAAAACAAAAAACAAACAAAAACTGGCTTCCCACATGCCGAAGATTAAACCTAGACCCATCTCTCTCACCATGTACTAAACTAAAATAGAAATGGATCAAACATTTAAATATTAAAACAGAAACACTAAATCTTCTGGAAAATAGAATAGGAAGAATTCTTGAAGACATTGGTGTAGGCAAAGCCTTTATGAACAAAACCCCGACTGCACAGGAAATATCACAAAGAATCAATAAATGAGATTTCATCTATTAAAAAGCTTTTGTACAACAAAGGAAACCACAAAAGAGTGGAGACAACGGACAGAATGGGAAAAAAAAATTACCAGCTACTTCTCAGACAAAGGACTAATATCTAGAATATATAAAGAACTCAAAAAGTTCAGAACCTCCCAAATTTAAAGACCCAACCCAAACTTGGGCATCTGAGATGAGCAGATATTTCTCAGAAGAAGGAGTACAAAAGGCAAATAAATATATGAAAAAGTGCTCAACATCACTGGTCATTTGAGAAATGCAGATGAAAACAACACTGAGATTCCACCTCACCCCAGAAAGAATGGCTGCTATCTTGAAATCAACCAATAACAAATGCTGGTGGGGCTGTGGGGAAGGAGGAACCCCACTCCACTGCTGGTGGGAGTGTAAATTGGTACAACCACTATGGAAATCAGTATGGAGATTCCTCAAAAAACTAAAACTGGAGGTTCTATTTGACCCAGCTATTCCCCTTCTAGGTATCTTCCCAAGAAAAGCATTTTAAAAACATTTTTTAAAAAAGAATTAAAAGCATCAACTCACAGTGATATATGCCTGCCCATGCTTGTAGAGCATAACTGATAATAGCTAAATCTTGGAAACAGTCCAGATGCTCACCAACAGATGAATAGATAAAGAAAGTGTGGTATTACAATGGAGTACTACTCTGCCATAAAGAAGGATAAACTTGAGTCATTTGTAGGAAAATGGAATGCACCTCTAAACCATAATCTGCTCTTGAAATAAATTTCTGGTGAAATAAATCAGACACACAGATTTAAGTATTGCATGCTCTTCTTATATGAGAAACCAAAAAGGTCAAACAAGGAGCATGATGGAGATATCCAGAAATAGGAAGAACATGTTTACATGAGAAGGGAGACAGGGAGGCGGACGGGAGGGAAAGGGCGGGAAAGGGGAAGAGGGAATAGGAAGGAAAAATTGAGACAAAGCTTTTTCAAATGAGGAGGGGAGGGGAATGAGGAAACAGAAGAATCAAGATGTACTAGGTACAAGTACAAACTCCCTAAGAGTGACAAATATGTACTAATAAAAAATATGCAGTTAAAAAATTCATTAGCAATAATTGTTCTATGAAATATCTTTTAGAAAGAAACATAGCTATTTGCAGTTGGGATTAACCCCACTACCTGAAATTTCTCTGTTACTAAAATTTTATTTTAGGGTCAGGAATGTAGCTCAGTGGCACCGCATCTGCCTGGCAATTGCAAGGTCCTGAGTTTGATCCCTAGTCCTGCAAAATAAATAATGAAAATAAAAATAATAAAGTTTTGTCTCTTCATCTCATTAGTTATTTCGGTAGAAGTGTTAAAATATTCAGCTATGATTCTGGACTTTTGTATTTGTCCAGTCACTTCTCAGGTTTTTGCTGTCTACACTTTGATGTTATTGTTACATGCATACAAATACAGCATTACAATATCTTCCTAATAAGGGGACTCTTGAGGCTATAAAACAGTCTATTTCCAGTAGTGTTTCTTTGTTAAAGTCTGCAATACATGAAATGAATGTCATTAAAGTGATTCTGGCTCACGTTATTATACGTGTTCTGAAATGTCTTTTCCATGCTTATACTTTAATCTTTTATTGTATATGTGATAGTTCACTGTTCATTGCTGCAGTGAAATAACTGGATCAGGCCAGCCCTTCTTGGGAGCCATTCTACGTAATTTTGGG